CCACCAGGTCCAGGATGTGAACCACGGTCGACTACACCGGAGTCCAGCGACATAGCCATTACGCTAACTGCTGGTCCCTAGGATATTTCTTTTAACATATTTTTTCTTTATAAAAAATACCTCTCTTTTCTGCTGCTGCTTTTTCCTGTCCTATCTCTCTTTATCACTTAAATTTCAAATGCGGACTATTTGTTCCATGTCTTATTTCTTTGGCACCTGCTCATACCTGTAGTATACCTCCCACTATGCCCTTGAAACTGCCAAAGTTACTGCAGTCTTGCTATTTGTCAAAATCCTGCATTTTTCTTTATATTTCCACAACACTTGATGTCATAGGTAGTGGAGGAAGTGACAGAAAAAGGATGTCCTTAGTGGCATGCTGGTAAACATTTACTCACCAGCTTTCTGAGCAGGAAAAGCCCTAACCCAGCACTCTTGGAAATTTACAACATGAATTACTTTAACCTACTGATATGATTGCACTGAACGTGGAGTTGGGATTATGCATAAACAATCAGCTCTGGCTACCTTGCAGGAGCTGGCTCCATCAAACCACTAGATGTTTTTTTGGGGAATGCTATTACTCATTGCCTTTGGCAGTATTTTCTATCCCTCTGATCCAATTTTGTCCATCTTTTTATTACTTCTATCACTTGTAGACACTAATAATTGACTTAGTTGAGGGTTAAATTTTTCATCTCTTTATTCTGTTCCTTGGTGTTTTCTCTATTGTCATGTTTTTCACCCTCACTATAGAATGAATGATGTTAAACCCTTAGCGGCTCCTTTGAGATCATCTCCCCATTTCAGTTTCCTATCAGTCACCCCTCCTTCACTTTATATTCAGTAGGACTAAAACTAGGCTTCTTGGGATCAGCAGGTGGTACGGTGGGTAAGGCACTGGACGCTCCCACATGACTGACGACGGATTGAATCCTGGACTTGGTGGCTTGCTTTCTCACTTTCCCTCTTTCTCTCCCTCTCCCTGGTCAAATTAAAATAAATGAATGAATAACTAAAATTAAATAAATAATTCTTTTTTTTTTTAAGACTTATCTTGCCCTTGCCAAAAGAAGTACTCACTTTTCTCTGTATCTTATTAAAAAGTATTGAATGCAAATTATATGCCATACACTTCATGAAGAGCTTTGGACATACCGTGTGGGAATCCTGACCCATTATTTTACAGAGTCAAAGCCTGGATAACTTGATAAGTTTACTCAATAGGCCATAGGGCTCTAATGTGAAAATAGCACTCTAACACCAAAACTCATCTTTCTTTTCTAACACTGAGTCTTTCAGTCAATGGAACTAACTTTTTTTTTTTTCCTCACAATGATACACAAATGATTTTTGAGTTTTGTGGTTACTAATTACAAAGTCCTGTCTGTTTACCAATTGGGCCAGTTTTGTGCAATTATCTGCCTTCCTTTTATGCTATGAACTTTTAAAAGCAAGATTCATGCTAGAGTCATCATTTTATTCCTTCTCATAACAAAAGTCCTTGTAGTAGCATGTATTCAATAAATCTTGATTTAATAAGTGAAATTACTAACTGATGAACAATGACGTATTTTATATATTTTCATTATGTATGTGCTAACACAGTTTTATTATGTGTTGAAAACAACTGATTATTTTAGAACTACAGCAGATCACATTTTGAACTAAGGGAATATTCAGGTTTAGTTTGCTAAAATAAGAAATAAAATATACACATATTTTAGTACAAATCATGAAGCTTACCAGTGCCTTAGTCTTTAGAGCCCAAGGCTATTGTACCCATTTCTAGAGAGCTTTTAGTTTAGACATCAGGGAATCTTAAATGAGTTTAGGGCAAGATCCCTTATTGCATTTCTTGCTAGTTCAGGGAGCTCCCGGGAAGTGTTTTTACACTCTCAGAAGTCTTAATTAGGGTCCAGTACTCAGCAATCCAAATTGCTCTGAATTAGGAGAGTTGGCTGCATTATTTTACCGAGAGTACAAATTGTCAAATGTGCAAGGTTATATGGCACTTTGCATAAGTGCATGAGTAGATGTGTCATCAGATCTTTCTTGAGTCTGTAGTTCCTAGTTTCTGTATCACCTGGGTCTATGTCCTGCCTCTGGAAGCACGGAGAAGCTGCCTCACGATTGAGTGAGCCTCAGGGCTTTTCTATACATAGTACGGTGTGGTGCTGCAGTAAGAGAGATGACACAGAGCTTTTCTACCCGGGCACGGCAGGGGGCCATTTTGACTGCTTCTGACAATAAAGGTACTTGAATCTGCAGAATAGTGAACAACTTCCAAATTATCCATTTGCAATTCTTAGGAGACATCTGTTTTCTTTGATACTTTATGCTAATCTACTACACCACCACCTTGTTACTGAAATGCTCTCAGTTGCCATTATCTAAAATATCCAAATACATTTCTTATCAGAATTAATCACTAAGAGATTTAGAACAGTCTTAGCAGCCTTTAGCTGCAGACACCATTCTTTTAAACAATACATGACAAATTGAAAATTAATATACCAGCTTGTTGAGCATAAGGGACTTTCAAGTGAACATAACATAGAATTTAGTTCCCAGAGCTTTTATAAACAGTGTATTTCCACTGCAGAATAATCTATTTGTTTAGTTCTTTTGAGCCGTGACAACCAAAATTGAGTTTGACAAAGAGACTCCATCAATATGTCTAACAACCTAAAAAATGTAAACTGAGGCACAACATGTCAAATAAAAACATCTTTATTTAGGTGTAATTTGCTGACTGCACCAGGATATAACCCGGAGCACATAGTTCAGGTAGCCCTAAACATGCTTACTGAGGTCCTATAATCCTTAGACAGATTTTAAAGGCAAAAGCCATACTCAGTAGGGGAAGAAGAAGTAGGGAATATACCAGTTATTTGGGGACAATTATCTTTGGTCACTATCAGTACTATTGATGATGTCATTGGTGGTGTCATTCCAAGGTTGGACAGTCAATCCCTGGGCAGATGTCCCTGTGGGAAAAGTTCTGTGTCAGATTACAGAGTCTTAGTGCCAGGTTGTAATTCTGGCAGAGTTCTGTAGATAACAGTTCTTGTTATCAGGCATACTAGCATGGGAAAATACTAGGTTGTTGGAAAAGTCATGATGCATTTTTGCATAGAAAAGTACGTCATGACTTTTCAGACAACCTAATACCTCCTCTGTGGCCTTACCAGCTCTGTTCAGTCATCGTCGGTACAAATGACTCCATTTTCATTCTGAAAATCTCTCCTGTCTTGATTTACCTTCTATTGCTGAACTGCATGGCTGGCAACTAGTACGTTGGGGGATAGGGTTTTAATGTAAGTCTTCAGAAAAATAGACAAAAGGATATCTCATTCACATTCTGTCACTAAAAGATACCCTGGTGAGTATAAAGCTTATATACAAAAATCCGAGGGTTTTTTGTTTGTTTGTTTGTTTCTGCATCGGATACCCTGCTATGTTATAGCTTTGATTTTTATCTTCATTCTGTCCCTTGTAGCGTTGAACTTTGTCAGGAGAGGTGAAGATATGGATGTTCATGGCTCCCCAGGAATGTCAGTTTGGACAAATTATTTCTTGAGCCTTTTATGTGGATTGAATAAAAACATAATGAAAGGGCCAGCAGGTGGCATAGTGGTTGGGGCGCTGGATTCCCACATGGCCAACCATGTCACAGACCTGGTGGCTCGGAACTCATATGAGGCAAATGTGCACATGTGCCCAAAATCCCAAGAGGAGAGTTGGGGAGAAGGAACTGGTCAATCCACCAGGGATGATTTCTCACTTTTTTCTCTCTCTGTTTTTCTCTGTCTCTCTGATGAGTGCACACACCCTAAAACAAAACATCTCTCTGATGATGATGATAATAATAATAATAATGGAACTCATTATTTAGATTTTTATTTCTTTTTACTTCAACTGTAGACCATCTGAGGACTTTGGAGGAGGAGGAAAATTATATCCTAAGGCTCTATCTCATGTGATGTCATTGTTAGTGGATGCTCAACTTTAAGAGGGCAATTCTCCATAATATTTAGCTCAGATCTGTGTTCCGGCATTTTGCAAGTCATAAAATCACAACTGAATTAGTTTAGTAAGCCCAAATAAATAGCAAGTAATAAATTTATATTCCAAATATTTCAATTATGAGTACATGGTTTATTTTGGTATTTTCATAAAGAAAAATTCATTTTCAGCTCTGTGTGTGTGTGTGTGTGTGTGTGTGTGTGTGTGTGTGTTCTACAATTTGTCTTATTTGGTCCTCTGTTTCTATTCTCTTTGAGCTTGGTTGCCTTGGTTACCATTGCATACATGCTTGTGCGAGAAGTTCTCCTTTGACGTGCACATATTTCTATGGAAACAGTGACGTCATTGGTATGGGTAGGTGCTTAAGGAAAGGATAATGAAGAAGCGTTAAATGTTGACCTTTCTTTTGGTCATAGGGTATCATTAATTTTTTTTAATAAAGAAGTGTATTTTTTGCTTTCATTTCACTTGATCATGAAGCTACATTTTTCTTGTTTATAGACTTGCGTGAGAAACTAGACGTAAATTATTAAATATATTGTATAGCTTCTTATGATAGGTGGTGCCATAAAACTCACCACAGATACCTATAGCAATAAAAAAACTTATTACTTTTACCTTAAAATCTCTCAAAGAATGAAAAGTTTATCTCAATAACATTTATCATCTAAAATTTGTGCAAGAAGTTTTATATTGACATCAAGGTGATAAGCAGTGTATACATGATGGATCAAGAAAAAAATGGCCCTACTTGTGGTCATCATTCTAAAAATCTCTCGTTTTAGAAGCACATGTATTTAACAGGGAACTGACCATTATTAAAATATATTTTCTGTGATATCAAATAAAGCTGTGAATACTTGGTATTCCATTTTTAAGGACTAAATCTTTTAAATCTTTCTTTAAAAATTTATTTTCTTCTCTGTTCTACATCACAATACTCCAGCCTCTCTCTCTCTTTTTATTTACAGATGATGTGGAAACCTGCCTATGATTTTCTCTATACTTGGAGTGCTCACTATGGAAATAGCTACAGAGACGTCTTACAAGACCTTCAATCAGCTTTGGACAGAATGAAAAACCCGGTGACCAAGCAGTGGAGAGACTTAACTGGAACTTTAGTACTAGTAAATTCTTTAGAGGTTTTGAGAGTAACTGCATTCTCCAGTTCTGAGGAAGTATAGCAATGAAGGTTGTGGTTTTTGGGGGAGAAGAGAATATAGGGAGAGAATAGGGTTTATGTGTGTATATGTGTAAGAAAGAAGGAATCTCAGAAAAGTATTATAATTATTTTTTTCTCTGAAACAGGATTGGTTTTATAATCAAACATGTATTTTTGTGTATGTTTCAAATGCAGACGAGGCTGCTCTGTTACTGGGAATGGAAAGAAAAGCCTCGTCTCTCGTTCAAAGTTACTTTTAATTTTCTTACCTTAAATCAAAGGTAGAGTTGAATAATTACATCATACAGATATCTGGAGAAACTAGAAACTCTCATTGAGAGCAACTGGAGTTTTAGCAGGAGGCAGAGGGAGAAGGGAGAAGCCAATAGGCTTCGTGGTCAGTCACGGGGCTACATGCTTTCTACACCTGCTCCTTCTCAGTCTTTTTTAAAGTTTGCTTTATTCATAAGGAGCAAGTTTGTACATACATGCATACAACTGAGAAAGAGAGAGGGAGGAGTGCCCTTGACAGGGTCTTATCACACATTAACCCCTTTATTCAGCCTTCCAGCTCATCAAGATCTTGGATGTCTATCTGCATGCTAAGTGTGTTTTCAAACAGACCCAGGAATCCAAACTGGTAGTTGTCCCTGTGGCTTCTGGCACTGCAGTTAAGTTTGTTATTGACTGAATGACCCGGCTGGGTCTACACATGATGGCTCTTATTTCTTGATGGAATTTGCCAACGTGAAGGACGCTCAAGGCTACATAGCCAGTGTAAAATAAATTTTGTTTGAAAAACCTGCTTTATTATTTTATTAAATCATATCATACAGAAGGATAGTAGAAATAATAAAAACGCATAAACTTTTAGGGTAATAGTAGCAATTTTTTTTAGGTCTTCACTGTGGAGTATGTGCTCTTATCATAGAGAGACATTGAGAGACAAAGTGAGAAATCACGTCCTCAGGGATGATGGCCACACCACAATCCTTTCTCCTCTATACTCCTTTGGGATTTTGGACATGTATACACACACACACCTGGCATGATTTTCAAGCTACCAGGTCCAGGACTCAGACCACAGTCATCCATGTGGGAGTCCAGCATTTTAACTACCTTGCCACCTGCTGGCCCTAGCTAGTTCATTTTAATTCAAGCTTGCTTCTGTTTTTCACTATCCCTTGAAAGCCTCCCACAGTGAAACTATGACTTATCATCAGTAATCTGTTGTCTGCACATGTGGACCTAGTAATTTCATCAGCAGCCTTCCACAATTTGGCATCAACCTTATCCTGCCTAATTAGAACTTTTTTGAATTTTTTCATAATGTAAAGTGGTTATTTGGCTTTTAGGGATTTATAAGCATAAGCGTTATTAAAAACAACCGTTGGGTCTAGTATATTTAGTCACCAAGAACACTGACATCTTTGTATGTGCATGCTTAGTCAGACATGTCTGTGTGTGTTCCAGAGTGTTTTATAAAACTTTTAGAAGACAAAGCTCATATAGGAACTTGGGCAGTATAAATGTCATGGCCAGCAGCGTTCATAAAGAGGTGATCTGCGTCTACTCATATGTTCAGTGCTCTGGTTGCCTGCCAGTGTTTATGTGTTTTGGACAGCCATTCATTTATTATCATTCAGTCAACAGATAGAGTATGTGTACCTGTTTTGTGGCAGGCACATGGGTGCTTGAGGTTAATCGTGGCCTTTGCCTTCTGTGCTGTTAAGTGAAAGAGACAGGTAATAAAAACAAAATGACACCATTAAATGTAAAATGATATCTGTAATGACAGCTGCAATGGAGAGGTTATTATGCTAAGAGACATGGACATATAGCAGGGCCATCATATAAATTGGAGATGGTGGTGGAGGGGGGGATAGGTAAGTTTTTCCCTGGGAAGAAATGATGAGTCTGCTGAAGATGCAGTAGGTAGTCCCATAAAGCACCTAGGCTCACAGGCAGGGGGAGCTCAGGAGGTGCAGGGAACTAGGGTGAAGGTAAAAAGGTGAAATGTGAGGGTGAGGTGGGGACAGAGCAAGAAGAGGGCACTTTAAGGGCATGAAAGCCACTAGAATTTAGAAAGGAAAGACACACCCTCAAAGGTAATGGGCGTGAGCTGAATGAAGGTTTTGTTTCAGGATTCTGAATAAAACATGTCCATTTGGCTAAAAAGTAAAAGAATTTTTTTAGAGCTTTTAATACACCCACCCTGGAGTATTTGGTATGCTGGCAATGGTAATTCAAATCAGGGTTTAGGAACATCTTTTAGGCTTTCAATATTTATATTTGACCATTAGAGAACACAGCCTGACCAAGGATTTATGTACACACATTCAAGGACAAAATTTATTTTAATTGAAAATAAATTCAGGGAGAAGGAAAGAAAAAAAAACATTTTGGAAGTTTAGAGTCACTTTCAGTGGTGATTTTGCTTTCTTTAGAACATTCTTGGAATTTTTATTAACATGTCAGCGAAACAGGGAATTTCGGGAAGGAATAGTCAGGGATTAATAACCGGGTTTTTCCAGGCTCCAAGATCTGAGCAGACAGAGAGAGCTGCTATTAGCTGATTAGTATGGTAAGAGTAAATGAATCATTTCAGGTTTACATCACATCATTGTGATTTTGGTTGGGAATTTTAAGAGTTTAAACAAATACATATATTCTGTAATTTAAGGATAAAACAATATTTTAAATATTAATATACACAAATATATTTTATAGTCTTTTTTAAAAAAATCCCTCCAAAGGATTTTTTAAACCTTTATTTACACATTCTGTTCTTATAAGCATATTCTAATATTTTCTATAAATTGGTTCTACTTTTCTAAATTTTATATTGTTTCCTTGCTGTAATGGGTTTTCATAATCAGAAAAGGTTACTTGCTAATCATGAATTGCCTTTAATATGTGGCAGCAATTTAATGAAATTAAGCAGGCACTTATATTCTATCCTTGACATAATTAAAAGCCTCAAAAGTCATTCATTTAAAACTTCTTTAAGCATTTTGGAAGTGGAAAAAGCTTAGGCATTTCTTTTAGTTCCTCCAGCTGTTCATCCATGCATGAGTTAAGTTGAGAGTCCAGCTCAATGCCCAGCACTAGTGTAACAAATTTTCTGTGTAAGCCACAGATCCTCTATTTGTTTCTGTTAGTCCTTGTATAAAATAATTAAGGAAGTGTCTTCGATAGTGTGTCATTAACTGTTCAACGCGATAATGAATACAGCACACTTTAATGTCCTGAAATGTAGAAAATACTATCTGGAGTTTTGAACTTGGGACTGATGAGATTTCTGGAGGGAACAGAATGCTAAATCTATATGATATTGGGCTGAAATCTGTTGCTGCTAGTAAGTCCTTTTGACTACAGGATACAAGCATACAATAGACAAAAATACATTCAAATTTAAACAATAACAATGCCATAATTAGTTTTTTTTTTTTTTTTTTCTTGGAGAGGTTTTTGCTATAGGGCACATGCGCTCGCCAGACAGAGGGAGACAGAGAGATAGAAAGAGAGAAATTACCCCCCAGGGGGGATGGTCACGCTGCAATCCCTTCTCCTGCATTCTCCTCTCAGGATCTTGGGCACACACACACACACGCGTGCCCAGTGTGAGTTTTAAGCCACCGGGTCCGGGACGCGAACTGTGGTCGACTACGTGGGAGTCCAGAGACATAACCATTACACTAACTGCTGGTTCCCGTTATAATTAGGAGTTTTAAGATTTGGATTTTTATACTGTGTTGCTGCAAATTATATTTTCTATCATTTTAATGCTTAAGGGGTATTTGAACTAATATCAGAGAAAGAATTATGTTATTGGAAGGTTTCATTTTATTTTTTTAATTAACAGAAAACACATGTGTTTGTCAAAGCATGGATGGACAGAAAGGGAGAGAGAAAGAACCCACGATGGGGCATGATCATGGCACAATTCTTTCTTCATTCCTCTATCTTTTCAGGATTTTGGCACTTGTTTCTGGCATGTTTCTTAAGGTGCCAGGGGCAGGATTTGACCTGTGGTTAGCCCTGTGGTATCTAGGTCCTCTAACCACGAAACCACGGGGCCATCCTTGTGGAGGCTCTTTTTAAATAAACAGGTGGTTTTTTCTTATATATACATAATTCCTTTCTTTCCCTTCTATATGAAGTTTCCCCCATATACTGCTGTGTGGCTTAGTGAGAGTGAAGTTCCAAAAATTATGTATTGCCGTCCCAGTAGGGATAATCCAGAGACAGTTTTCAGAATAAAATGGCATATTGGAGGTTGATTTCTTTCATGCATACTCACCAGTCTGTAACATAAAATACAAATAACCAGTATCCATGGAAAAACTTGAATTTGGACATATGTAGTATCTGATTCAGTATCAATATGTCACTTAATGTTAAATTTATGACTTTTGCATGGATATTTTACATTGATTTTCTACTTACATACATTCAGAAAGCTTTAAGCCTAATTATAAGTTTTGCAATATTGAGTAACAGTGTCACTTTATCTACTAGGGAGTAGGAATAAAGAGCTTAGCACTGAATAATAATTAGAAGCAAAGGAGAAAATTCCAGAGCGAACACGGCTGTTGTCATAATGAGGACATAATGAGTACAACGTGAATGGCTCTGTCTGCAAAACACTGGTCTGGAAGTTGGAAGATGTGGCTTCTATCCGAGCTCATTAGTGCCGAGGAGACCTTGGACGCCTCTCTCAGCTTCCCTGGGCTTCAGTTTGCTCATCAGTAAAATGAAGCACTTGAGCCGGGTAATGTCTAAAGTTGCCCTTAAGTTTAAATGTCTATGAATATACAATAAGTAGAACATTTTGTTTCAGTTTCTTTATTTTCTTATGAGAGAAGAGAAAGTGAATTAAGAGTAATTATTTGAATACCGATTATCCACATTAAAGTCTTCTAGGGTGGCATCGTGATTACAACCCTGGACTCCCATATGACTAACTGTGGTTCAAGTCCCAGACCCAGCAGTTTAAAAATCATGCTGGGTGCATGTGCATGCGTGCTCAAAATCCTAGGAGGAAGCAATGGGATTATGGTGTGGCCATATTCCCTTGAGGGTGATTTCTCACTTTCTCTCTCACTGTCTGTCTCTGGTGAGCATATGGGCCCTATGGCAAAGACCTTAAAAACAAAACAAACACTAAAGTGAGGCCAGCAGGTGGTATGGTAGTTAAGGCAGCTATATTCCCACATGGCCAACAGCAGTTCGATTCCCAGACCTGATGGCGTCAAAATCATGGGACCAGCAGATGCTGCTGTAGTGGTTCTGTCACTGGACTTTCACGTGCTCCACTGCTGTTTGAGTCCCAGACCTGGCGGCTTGAAGCTCATGCTGGGGGCATGTGCATATGCGCACAAAATCCCAGGAGGAGAATAAATGAGGATTGTGGTGAGGCCATCTTCCCTGGGGGGTTATTTCTCACTTTATCTCTCACTGTCTCTGTCTCTCTTTCTTCCAGTGAGCACACTCGCCCTAAGGCAAA